CAGCAGTGTGGCAGCCCCATCACTTTTGTTCATTCCACATGTGTGGCCCTCCCACCCGCACCCCACACTCACTCTCAGCATCTCTGATTCCTGTGTTCAGAAGGGCAGGTTCCTAAATGCACTCAAGGAGGGAGGGAAGAAGGGAGGGAGGGAAGGAAGGAGGGAGGGAGAAAGGGAGGGAAGGAAGGAGGGAGGGAAGGAAGGAGGGAGGGAGGGAGGGAGGAAGGAGGGAGAGAGGGAGGAAAAGAGGGAGGGAGGGAAGGACGGAAGGAGGGAACGAGGTAGTGGGGGAGGGAGGGAGGGAGAGGAGAGTCAGGAGTCAGTCTTTCTTCTCACACAGGAGACATGCTCAAGTGAGTCCAGCCTTTTCATTTTAACCAAATGGCTCCTCTGGGTCTTGTCTCCCAGACTCATCCCGTCCAAATGTGCTTATTCATCAAAGAGTCAAAATTCCAACCCCTCCCGCCTCAGCCAGAGTGTGGAGCACATCAGGCGGCCAGCAGAGTGGGGCCCGCCTGACCAGCCCCCAGGAAGGCTCCGCGGCCCAGTGGGGTGAGGAGGAGCGCGGGACCCCGGCCAACCCAGGGCTGCTGGGCTCTGCTCCCAGCTCCTCTCCTGGCGAGGAGCTCCTGGCTCCAGGCTCCTGGCCCCTAACCAGCAATCCATGGTTCATTCTGAGGCGTCTCTGGGAGTGGCAACCCAGTAGGAAGAGTCACACAGCCAGAGGTGGGGTTAGGATTGGGCTGATAATCTAGATACCTGTTTTTCCTCAGGCACCTTCAGCTTCTTAAACCTCCGCCATTGCTCTCACCTGTGGGCCAGTGAGCCCGAGCAGATGAGAGTGAAGTGAGAGATCGGGGATGGTATAGAGCAGAGGTTCTCAACCCTGGCTGCACATTAGAATCACCTGGGAATCTTTTGAAAATCCTGATTTCTGGGCCTCATCCTCTGGAAATTCTGTTTCTTTGTTATGGGGTGGGGCCACAACATGAGTAACAAAGAAACAGACTTTCCGGAGGATGAGGCCCAGAAATCAGGATTTTAAAAAGATTCCCAGGTGATTCTAATGTGCAGCCAAGGTTGAGAACCACTGGTATAGAAGGAAGACCCCAAAGATGCCAGCAGGTAGAAATGAGAGGAAGAAGGGAAGGGCTCAGGGGAGAAGGTGGGAGAGGCAGTGCGGGGAGGAATGGGCACCCTCCCATCCTCACAATTTTGAACCAAGATTTGCTGAGAAGGGACAGGCTGCTTTTTTACTTATTTATCCAATTTTGGAAGCCCCATTTAAGAAATACAATACAAAATCATTGATATTAAATTGATGACAGGAGTAAACATTTATTTAGAGTACTAAATCACAACGAATTATAAAATTTTAAAAACCTGGAAAATACGATAGACATAATATCTAGAAGAGATAGAGTTGTATGAATTTGCTCTCAAATAGTTCACCCTTACCTTTTTTGGCTGTTTATTCTTTGTCTCTTCAAGTGACAATGGCTTTAAAATATTACTTTATTTAGAAAGAACAGAATGATAATTCAGTCTTTCCTCTGGCGCGGATGGATCAATACCTTTATTATGATGATGCATTTGAATGTTGCATTTTATAGCTTGTGGTTGGTAAAATCATATCAGTTTTTATGATGCCAAATTGGGAACATCTGTGCTAAATTTCTTTCTTATATGAGTTGTAGGATTTCAAGGCATTGTTCAGTAATTAGTCTTAAATGTTCTTTGAATTGGTGACACTCATTAACCAGATTTTCCTCACTTTTGTGTAATAATATGAGTTTTATGCAATATTCATCAATGTCGAATTTTTATGTCAAATGGAGAAATTTAATATTTTCCCTATGTGTTCATATTATTTTCTTCTCCTTGTTAATTGGGTTGTCAAACAATCCACGTGCTTGTTTATTATATTTAAAATTTGTATATTCCTCTTGCCTCTTTTGATAGAATCTGAAAATTTTTTTTACAATGTGCTTCTCAATTTCAAAATAATTTCTACTGATTTCATGGTTTATTTTTTATCACTTGTTTCATAAATCCATAATTTTTAAAAATTGATTTTAGAGAAAGAGAGGAAGGGAGAGGGAGAGAGAAAAAAACACATCAATGTGAGAGAGAAACATCTATTGCTACCTCCTGCACGTGCCTGACTGGGGATCGAACCCTCAACCTGGGTATGTGCCCTGACTGGAAATTTAACTGGTGAAAGGTGCCCAGGGTGATGCTCAACCAATAGAGCCACAGCAGCCAGGAACAAATCCATTGTTTTTTAAATTGAGATTATAACGAACAATATCATATTAGTTTCAGGTGTACAGCATAATTATTTGATATTTTTATGTATATCGCAAAGTAATCACCACAATAAGTCTAGTTAACATCTGTCACCATACACAGTTACTCTCGGCAATTTTCAGATAGACATCCCAGTATTGTTGAGGAGGAAACTGGTCTTGCAAGGCGTGTCAGGCCATAAAAACTGTGAACAATGCACTGCCCTGGGGGCGGGGGGGGGGGAGGTTGTTATCGCTGGCCCCAGGACAGATCATCAGATATGGCCTGGGGACCCCCAACACCTGGGGCCTTCCTGTAAGCCCACGAAAGGGGACAGAACCATACCTGCAAGACAAAGACCCCAGAAGGTTATAAAAAGTGAAGCCCTCTGCGTGTTACTCTGATTTGGAAATTATTCTCGGAGTCCACTATGTTAATAAACGGGGTCCCTCCCTTTCTCTAGGAAGCGGGCTTGGTATTTCTTTGCTCTTCTGTAACATTGTTAACTAGAGCCACCGTCTGTACATTATATCCTGAGGACGTATATTACAAATGAAAGTTTGTACTTTTGACCATCTTCACCTGTCTTGCCCATGCTGCAGTTTGTTCTCTGTATCTGTGTTCATTTTTGTTTGTTTTTTAGATTCCACCTATATGTGAGATCATACAGTATTTTTCTTTCTCTGTCTGACTTATTTCACTTAGTATAATGCTCTCAAGGTCCATTCATGTTGTCACAAATAACAAGATTTCCTTTTTTATGGCTGAATAATATATATATATATTACAGTTTTTAAAATCCATTTATCCATCGATGGACACTTAGGTTGTTTCCATATCTTGGCTACTATAAATGATGTTGCAATAAACTTGGGGGTGCAAGTATCTTTTTGAGTTAGTATTTTTGTTTTTGAAAGGGCGAGGACTACGCCCTCCACCTTGCCCCAGGATAAGGGCTACGCCCTCCACCTTGCCCCAGGGTAAGGGCTATGCCCTCCATCTTAACTTGGCCATGTGCTCAGCAAGCTTCTTCCCGGAAGATAGTCAAGGGAAGTGCATGCAATCACTATGACCCCATCCTGTGTAATGAGACACCGACTCGCACCTGGCCAATCGGCAGGGCCCACAGTCTTTTCTCCTCCCCTTACCCCAACCCCCTATAAAAGCTCTCTCCACACAGAGTTTTCTCTCTCTCGGCCACTGGAGCTTACCGTTGCATCGGTGAGTGTGGCAGGGAAGCCAAACCTAGGTTTGAAATTAATGACTCTTTGCTTTTGCATTGGACTCGCTGGCTCCCTGTGGGTTCTTGGGAATCATGAAATCTGGTCACAACAGTTTTCTTTGAATATATACCCAGAAGTAAAATTGGTGAATTTATATAGTATTTTTATTTTTTAAATTTTTTTGAGGAACCTCCACGCTGTTTTTCATTGTGGCTGCATCAATTTACAACCCCACTAACAGTGCACAGGGCTCCCTTTTCTCCACATCTTGGCCAACTCTTGTTATATTTTTTTTATAATAGCCGTTCTGACTGGTGTGAGGAGGTTTAGATTTGCATTCCCCTGATGATTAGTGATGTGGTGCATCTTTTTATGTACCTTCTGGTCATTGGAATATCATCTTTGGAAAAATGTCTATTCAGTTCCTCTACCCATTTTTAAATTGGATTATTTTGCTATGGGTTGTATGAGTTCTTTATATATTTTAGATGTCAACCCCTTACTGGACAAATGATTTGCAAATATTTTCTCCATCCAGTAAGTTGCCTTTTCATTTTGTTGATGGTTTTCTTTGCTGTGCAGACTAAATCCATTAATTTTTAAGTAAATTTTCTGTTCTTTTTTTTTTTAAAATATATTTTATTGATTTTTTACAGAGAGGAAGGGAGAGAGATAGAGAGTTAGAAACATCGATGAGAGAGAAACATCGATCAGCTGCCTCCTGCACATCTCCTACTGGGGATATGCCCGCAACCCAGGTACATGCCCTTGACCGGAATCGAACCTGGGACCTTTCAGTCCGCAGGCCGACGCTCTATCCACTGAGCCAAACCGGTTTCGGCATAAATTTTCTGTTCTTTAATACATACATTTAACGTTGACAAAAGAAGAAAATATACTCTTGATATATGTCCAAATCTGTCCAATCTCACTTGTTTTATCTAAATCCTCAAGGAGACTTTCCAAAATGCAGTTTAAAATGGCATATTCAAGTTGTATCAACTTTTTAAATAATTTTTTTTTCATTTTGTTTATGTTTCTCTTCCAGGCCTTTGAAAATGTTAGATTCTTAAACTATCATTGTTACCTAGCAAGAAGAGGTAGGCAGAATAATGTCCCACCCATCTTCTAAATATCCACCTCTTAATTCCCAGAACTTGTGAATATTTACCATATATGACAAAAGGGACTTTGCAGATATGATGAAACTGAGGGTTCTGAGATGGGGAGATTGTCTTGTATTATCCAGGTGAGCCCAACATAATCACATGGGAACTTTTCCCAGTAGATCATGTGACCACTTTTCCCAGTAGATCATGTGACCACTCCTTTCTCGGACAGGTGACCTTGGTTAAAACACATAGTGCCAAGAAGGGGAGCAAACATATTAAAAACAGTATGCCATATACGCCAGGTCCCTTGAAACATATGCTGTGCAGATGTTTCTTCCCTGCAGCGACTGTGTCAAGCAGCAAGGATGGACCGGCTTCCGGCAATGTGGGGTGTGCAGGAGGCAGCCAATCATTGATTCTCTCTCATCATTGATGTTTCTATCTCTCTCCCCCTCTCCCTTCCTCTCTGAAATCAATATATATATTATATGGAGGAAGGGGATCATGAGTCAAGGAATATATGAGGCCTTTAGACTGTGAAAGGATTGACTCTTGAGCCTCTGGAAGGAAGGCAAACCTACTGACACCTCACTTTACCCCAGTGAGACCTGTGTCCAACTCCAGAACCGTAAGATAATAAATCTGTGTTGTTTTAAGCTACTACATGTGTGTGATTTGTTACAGCAGCAAAAACTAATACACAAAGCTGGGATAGTTTTTAAGTGGAAAGATCATCTCATTATATATAGAAAAATTCAAGTTTTAAAAATATTCTAAGTGTTTAAAATACTCAAGTGTTTAAAATACTCGACCTATGAAAGGAATGCTGTTGGAAAAACAGAACTAGTCAACAAGTTTAGGTCCTCAAAGGCATTGTTTTCTCTGCTGAGAGGTGTAATATGTTTATAATTATATATTTACAGGTCTTCTTCCTGGCCAGAGAGAACTTCGGTTATGACCCAGCATTATTAGAACAGAATCCCCACTTCTGATTTGGCACAATGGAGGGCTAGAGTTTTTTTGTTTTGTTTTTTTACAAACTGGCTTCTGGTTTTGCTTATTTCAATCTTGCTTTTCCTTCACTCTACAAGTACTTTTGGTGTTGAGCGCTGGAGCACATGTTCCCATGGAGAATGTGGCCAGCACTTTTGTGTCCTGACATCAGGTGAAGTGGAGCAGGAGGAGTGTCCCAGGCAGCCATTCCTACCCCAGGACAGCGGGCAGTGATGTAGCGACACGTGAGTGATGGAGAACCACACAAACATGTTTCACTGAATCCAAAATAAATGTACTCCCCAACTTACCTTTTCAAATTTACAAAAATACATGGCCAAGGAGACACATGGCTAAGAGCCCCCATATTAGCTTTGCAAGGGGTTCATGCACACGAGAGGCCGCAGCTTAAGCATGGACAGCTTTAAATAAATGCAAACAAAGTCCTGGTAGGTGATTTCCATTCCCTCCTTCCTGCCTCAACACCTCTCCTTCAGAGACGCAGCCTGGGTTGAGAAAAGAATACCAGCTTTTAGTTTAGACAGCTATCTCCCTCGGCCTCAGTTTACCTTTTTGGCGGTGGGGATAATAGCCCATAGAGATGTGGCTGTGAAGACTGGGTGGAAAACTCAGGAGAAGCATCCAGTCCGCTGTGGGCTGGTTACTTCCTCCTCCTGCCTCTCTGGGCTGCAGAGAAGAGGGGGTGATGCTGCCAAGGCTGGGAAGGGAAGGGTGCCAGGAACAGAAAAGCCCTTCCCTCACCCCCAAGCCCTGAGGGCTGTGCTCCCTCTTTTCGGTTCCGCCCTGTGTAGTAGCTACTTTTGCCTCCCCCTCCCTCTGATCCCTCCTCCTACACTTGGTGTTCTCCAACCCCCTCTATCTTGTCCCTTTGAAGGTTCCTCAACGAGATAAGGCTGAGACGTCTAGGGAAGGAATGTAAAGCCTGTTGGAGTAAGTCCTTTTAAAAGCAGCTGAAGGTGACCCCATCTCCCTTCCTCCATTCCCCTGGGGCTGGTGAAGGGCCCTCAATGCTCCTGGCTCTGCAGCTAATGATAAGGATGCAGTGATTGGCTTTGAAAAGTCAAGTTGAAGTACGATTCAGAAAGGTCAGCTGTGAGGTTTGCTTCCTCATCAGAGTGAGGAAGCAGCTCACAGAATCCCGGTCACCACTTCTTTTTGGCCTAAGAGTTCAAGCCAATCAGCACGGGAGGGAAAAATGTCCTGGCTCCGGTAGGAACGCTTTGCTGAGGGTTGTGGCCAGCAGGCTGTGGGGGTCAGTTCCATTTTGTCCCTGCAGGTTGGGAGGCAGAGGGGCTCATCCAAATTGGTAAACTCATAAAACTCCCAAAAACCACTCCAGAAGAGTCTATACAAACTGGGAAAGGTTAAAGGGCAGACTCCCTAAAGCCTGTTCCACAGATTTCGATTCAGATAGTCCAGTGATGGCGAGCCTATGACACGCGTGTCAGAGGTGACACGCGAACTCATTTTTTTGGTTGATTTTTCTTTGTTAAATGGCATTTAAATATATAAAATAAATATCAAAAATATAAGTCTTTGTTTTATTATGGTTGCAAATATCAAAACATTTCTATATGCGACACGGCACCAGAGTTAAGTTAGGGTTTTTCAAAATGCTGACACGCCGAGCTCAAAAGGTTCGCCACCACTGATGATAGTCTATTAATAAGCTCTCCCAGGTGGTTCTGAGCTGGAGGTCTGAGGTCCACATTTTGTTGTTGTTAATCCTCACCTGAGGATATATATATTTTTCCCATTGATTTTTAGAGGGAGTGGAAGGGATTGGTTGCCTCCTGCATGCGCCCGGGCAGGGGGTCAAGACTGCAACTGAGACTGCAATTCTCGACCAGAATTGAACTGGGACCCTTCAGTCTACCGGCAGAAGCTCTCTCCACTCAGCCAAACCGGCCAGGGCTGAGCTCACATTTTAAGGAACTACTCTGTAGTGACATACACATCCTCCTGGCTTTGGCCTACCCAGATTCTCCTGCTGGGAAATTGGTTCCTTCTGATCCTGCTTGCTTCTTGCAGACTAAACTCTCATCAGGGTTTGGCTTGGCACCTCACTGGGGCAACCATGGTAACCACGGTAAACTTAGTGGGGTGTCTGGGGAAAACCATGACCCTGGGCCTGGCTCTTGGAGGGGCTGCTGGCAGTTGGACCCTGAGGGCCCATGCTATTCCCTTGAGGGTTCAGGTCCTGCCTCAAGAATTCAGCCAAGGCCAAAGCGAGGAGCGGGACGCGCGCCAGGGCGGGCCAGCCTTTCAGAGCCAGGCTCCAGCTCCAGCGCCGGCCCGACTGGTTAGAGTCGTTAGACGGAGGGAGGCTTCGGGTTTCTGGGGCCACCAGCGCGTCGCCCCCGCCCGCGGGAGCCGGGAGCAGGGGCGGGGCCTGGACCAGGAACGCGGGCTCTTGGTTGCTATGGCAACGCGTCAACACCCAGCGCCTTCTTGGCAGTGCCAGCGGCGGCGGAGGCGGCAGAGGCGCGGCTGAGATGGTGAGGGCCCCGTGGTGGAGGAGACCTCGGGTCGCACGTCATGTGTGCGGAATGGGTTGGCTTTCTGAGGCGGAGAAGCGGAGAACTGGGGGAGCACAGAAGTTGGGTCACGGTCTGGGTATCAGGAAGGCCCTGGAGCGGGGTAGACACCTCTAGAAGAAACTAGGGAATTCCTGAGTAACTTCTTCCTCCGAGGGCGGGGTCGATAGGGATCGATAATGCGTCCTGCTGCTGAGCCTGGGAGCTGGGGAGAAAGGGCTGTCTCGGCCTTCTTCTCCTCCTCTGGGCTGCAGACTGAGAGATGTGATGGGGAAAAACCACTGGTGAGGAGGCCGGATGACAGGTTACATAGACCTGTTCTGCCACGAACTAGCAGAGTGACAACACATAAGTCACCTAATATGCTCAGCTTTCTCTTCTGCTACTGGGGCTTGGGCCCCTCAGTATATACTCAACAATCATTTGCAAAAGAATGAACGCATGAGGAAGGTACCAGGTCTGAAAGGCGCCGGAGGGCGATGGGGACAGGTCTGGCCAGCCCGGGGTTTCCTGGGGCAGAAGGACGGCCAGGGTCATGAGGGCTGAGCAGGGCAGCAGGCCTGGGAGGGCCTAGCAGGGGATGTCTGGGCTCCAGTGAGGAGTGTGCAGGTCCCTGAGGGAGAAGGAAGAAGGGCTGAGGACAGGGGCTGCATGCAGCCTTGGGGTATTGGAAATAACCCTAGAATTTCTGGGGACATACCGGGCGGGAAAGGTGGCTCCTTGCGTGAACTGGTGGACACACTCATGCCCAGAGGCGACGCTGCTTTTCTGGGGCTCAGGGGGTCAGGTGCAGAGATTTCGGAAGAGCTTTGTTATAAAATGAACAGGTCTTTAGCAAAGGTTCCCGCTTCTGAGGACTCCCTGCAGGGTTCCCTTAGCATTCCTTATGCCTGTCACTCTCAGCTGTCAGTGCCTTCCAGGCACAGTGGTGTGGGGTGCATGTCTGTCTGGGAGAGCCTAGCACAGCCGTGGGCAAACTACGGCCCAGCCCGTTTGAAATGAATAAAACTAAAAAAAAAAAAAGACCGTACCCTTTTATGTAATGATGTTTACTTTGAATTTATATTAGTTCACACAAACACTCCATCCATGCTTTTGTTCCGGCCTCCGGTCCAGTTTAAGAACCCATTGTGGCCCTCGAGTCAAAAAGTTTGCCCACCCCTGGCCTAGCACCATGCCTGGCATATAAGGGCATACAGTGAATGTTAGTTCTTTTTTTCTCCTGTTTAAAAAATTTTATATATCCAAGCCCAAATTAATCAGTAAGTTGAGCCTGGGCTAGACTTGTAGGCTTCTGTGCACCCAGATCAGGGATTCCCCATCCAAGGGCCACTCAGAGCAGAGGTTTGGCCTACTGACGGAGCCCTTCTGAAATCCCTTGGACAGGACTGGGCATAAAGGCACCTTTGAGAACCAGCAGCCCGAGGTAGGGACCTCTGCTCTTCTGGTAGGCCAGGTGTGTGTGTGTGTGTGTGTGTGTGTGTGTGTGTGAATGTGTGTGTATGTGTGTGAATGTGTGTGTGATGCTTCCCAGTGGTTTTGAGAGTGTTTGGGGGGTTGGGGAAAGGCAGTGGTGGTGGGGTGAGGCTCACTACTGGGCAGATCTTCAGGACTTTTACAAAAACAAGGGAAACAACATCCTGTAGGAGGAGGGACGGGCCTCAGTAGTGACTAGGCCAGTGATGGCGAACCTTTTGAGCTCGGTGTGCCAGCATTTTGAAAAACCCTAACTTAACTCTGGTGCTGTGTCACATATAGAAATTTTTTTATCTTTGCAACCATAGTAAAACAAAGACTTATATTTTTGATATTTATTTTATATATTTAAATGCCATTTAACAAAGAAAAATCAACCAAAAAAATGAGTTCACGTGTCACCTCTGACACGCATGTCATAGGTTCGCCATCACGGGACTAGGATGTCACCTTCAGATGTCATCTCACAGGTGGCCAATCTGGTTCCATTTGAGGATAGAGATGAGCTGAGTGAATCGCTTAGTAAAAGGCAAGGTGCCTGCTGCCTGGGCATCCCCTTCTTCTCAGTAACCAAAACCTACAGAAAAAATAAGTAGAATCGGGCCCAGAGCTTGAAGCCTGAATGTGCTAGCCTGCAGCGAACCTAGTGCAAAAGAGGAACCAGATCCTGGGTGGAGGGGACAGCCGGGAAAGAACATGACTTCATCTCTGTTCTGCTGACAGGCGTTACAGTTCTGTCGGGCAAACTCCACGCTGACCTGTTTTAGCCCCGTCCCAGCTCTGTGTTGCTGGAATTGAGTGGAACATCCGGGGACATAAAATGATGCAGTTTTTATTTTTATTTTATTTTATTTTTTAAATGTTTCTAAATGGTTTCCCAGAGTTTAGATTTTTTTTTTCAATATATTTTTATTGATTTTACAGAGAAGAAGGGAGAGGGATAGTTAGAAACATCGATGAGAGAGAAACATTGATCAGCTCCTCCTGCACACCCCCTACTGGGGATGTGCCTGCAGCCAAGGTACATGCCCTTGACCGGAATCAAACCCGGGACCCTTGAGTCCACGGGCCGACACTCTATCCACTGAGCCAAACTGGTTAGGGCAATGCTACAGTTTTTAAAGGGCTAGATTCACCTGTGTTCAGAGTTGGGGCATCAGGCCCATTGCTGTGTTTCTGTTTTTAAATAAAAATAGTTTTTTTTCCTGATCATAAAAAGAGTTATCTATTCACTGCAGAAAATTATTCAATACAAGAAACATCTTAAGATGATAATGTGCACCTGAAATTAAACCTTTTTCACAAAAATTCTTTAAGTAGCACATTCTGGGTGCATACCCTCATACAAATATTTTTATAGGGTTACATGCATGTTTTTTATAATTTGCTTTCTTTAAAACAGTAGGTTGTTTAGATCATCCTATACTAATGATTAAGTCAAAATCACCATGCAATTGACTGACGAATATTACGCATCAGAGTCTCCCCCGGAGTTCCCAGCAGTGGCCCACTTTTTGTGCTGCTGGGTGGGAGCTAAGTCACCAAGATGAACATTTTAAAGCAGGTCTGGCATCTTTATCTGTCCCCAGGCCTCATCTTCCCCAACCCCCCTTGCCTCCTCAGCTATTACTACCAGTTTTTATCTGTCTCTTCCTTTTCTTCAAAACCTGCCTCCCCCAGGGCCTGGACAGGCACTGTTCAGCTTCGTGGGAGTGTTTACTGGTCATGAGAGAAATCAAAACAGCCCTTCCCCACCTGAAAGCACCTTTTGGCTCCTGCCTCTGGCCCAGAGGGGTCTAACTTTCCATTTCTGCTTGGTTCTTCTTTTTTTCTAGCATTTTTACACAGTGACCTCTCCAATCCTTCTTGCTATTCTTGGCAAAACTGGTGATTCTGACCCTAATGTGCGGCTTGTGGCTTCACAGTCAGCATTTCCCAAGTGAGGTTTCCTCAGCCACCCAGCCCTGGAGCCTAGTGCTTCCCTCGGCTCTGCTCAGCGGCTACTTCTCTGCGGTCATTTGTTTTCCTCCTTCTGTTTTGACTTCTAGGCTCAGGCAGTCGAGGATCTCTGGTGTGACTTCCTCATGACCTGGGTACCACGGGTGTAGGAAAGAGGCGATGGAGCATCAGTCCCGAGGACCCATCTGAGCACAAGGGAGAACCTGCAGGAGTTCTTTCTTTTTTAATTCCTTACCCAAGGAGTGAGGATATTTTTCCCATTGATTTTTTAAGAGAGTGGAAGGGGCTGAGGAATGGGGGGCGGGGGGAAAGAGAGAGAGAGAGAGAGAGAGAGAGAGAGAGAGAGAGAGAGAGAGAGAGAGAGAGAAACAGGGAATATCAATGTGTTAGAGACATATCAATTGGTTGCCTGCCATTTGCGCCCTGACCAGGCCTGGGAATTGAACCTGCACCAGAGGTACATGCCCTCGATCGGGAATCGATCAAGAGCACATACCTTCAGTTCGCAAGTCAACACTGTAACCACTGAGCCAAACCGTCCAGGGTAGGAATTCTTGAAAATACAAACAAACAAACCAACAACAGGAAAACAAACACAAAACAATAATGATACTTCCCATCTGACCTCTCACCTTTTCACAGACCTTCCTTTCCACAGTGCAGGCCATAGGCAATGTGGAAAGTGTGGAGTGGCCGAGTGACCTGGAGTCAGGCGGGCCTATTCCAGAAAGGCTTCCATCTCCATCTGGCCTCAGCCCTGGAGAGGCCATCTTGCTTGGTTTCATTCATTCATTCATTCATTCATTCTCCATCAAATGCATATTGAGCTCCTACTGTGTGTCAGGACCACATCCTCTTCCTTGATTATGTACAGAACTCACACCATTCCTCACAATCCAGTCTCCTCTACCTTTTCCAGTTATTCATATTGCTTAGCCTCAATCCCACCTGTTGCAGTGTCTGTTCATTTCCTCTGACTCTGTTTTCGGTGGAAAGGGGGGCAGTTGCTCTCGACTCACCTTGAGTCTGTTATGAGCCTCCTCGGGCTGCAGTATTTGCCTTTCAATAAACCCAGCTTTTCTGCTCTGCCCTATGGAGGCTGACTGTGTCTTCCCAGGGCCGGTCCCTCCGAAAGCCTGTTGCTAGCAGGGCCGGGCAGTGCCAGGCAGGACATACAGCAGTGCCGGCTGGAGAGTTATGGCCCACATGGTGTGGAAACCTGATACGGGCGGCTAGTGCTGGGGTGTCTGGTTGGTCATGGCGGGTGAGAGAGAGCTTTCAAAACACACCGTCCAGGGTTTGGAGCCCTGGAATGCACAGTCTGTTTCCCTGTCCACCCTGCCCCCTTGACAGCTGCTGATTCCCAGGCTTGGGAGACCCAGTGTGTGTAGCCCCTTCCCCAGAGACATCCCAGCTTAGACACCCGGGGGAGATGTGGGCTCCTCCAAAGTGAGACTTGAATCAGCTGTGGGTTAAGCCTGGGGTGGTCCCTCCATCCTCACAGAAGCCACCTTTTTGGAGAGACTTTTCTGGAGCCTGAGCTGAAGCTGGATGAACTCTGGGAACGAGTTGGTATTAGTCAGGGCTCCTGGTTAGAAGCAGCAGAGCCAAAGCTCTAATTTAAGGATTTTGGGAAGCGCATGGACTTTACACCAAGGCTGGTAAACCAGGCTTGGAAAATGGGAATAAAAGGAGAAGTTGCAGCCAGAACAGAGGCCAAAATCACAACCCAGCGCTGGTCTGGCGGGGACCCTGATGCTGGGTTGTACCCCGACGCTGGCAGCTCTGGCTGCGGGGTGCTGCTGCCAGTGTCCTCATCAGCATTGCCCCAGACACTGGGTATGGCTGCAACTTCCTCTTTTGCCACAAATGTTTTCCTTGTTCTCCTTTTTACATCACTAGTTCCCTAACCCTTTTCAGGCTTTGGTGATCAGATGGGCTTTGCCCAGGCTCCGAGGGCAAATATCTGGTGTCTTCAGCTTTGCTAGTCAGAGATGAGCCTTGTCTCCCACGCCTTGTTGATGGGAGCGTCCCAAACATAGGAAGACACGGGGTGGTTAACATGGACAAACACACATGGAAGGGTCCTGGAGTGAACGCCAGGTGGTGGACGTTATGCATGGGTTTGTCTGAGGGTAGCATCACTCATCGACTAAAGTTTATTAGGCACCAACCCTGTGCCAAGTGGCGGGCAAGGTGGTTTCCGATCCTTGAAGCCCTCTGGTCCCCATTGGGAGATTGTGGCGATTTGGAGAGTTCAGGTAGCAGAGTACGGGGCTTGGAGCTCATGCCGAGACTACTGGAGGTGAAGCGGACACTATACATTTCTGGGGAGACAAGCCAAAGGGGCCTCACCAGGGAGTGTCCCTGTGGGAAATGGGAACTGGGACAGCAACGAGGTCACCCTCCTGCCACCCTCCTTTCCTCCCCTCTTTCTTCCATGCGGCATGACAACTTGGCCTTCAGCTCAGGGAATGCAGAAATGCCCTTCTCACTGAGCTTGGTCCCTACTCAGAGAACCCTCTCTTCTTTGGGGGTGTCCCCAACATTTCAGGGTCTATCCAGGTACTTTCCCCCTGTAGCTTTTCCACAGGCACCTCTACCTACCTTGGCATGGGCTGATGAAGCGCTTACCTTGCCAAGGGTCCAGATGGTACTCAGTACTGATGGCTGAAACCTTTTGCCTCTCCCTGCAGCCGTTAAGCACAACTGGCGTCACGAGCTCCTCTTCCACCACTTCCAACAGGTCAAGGAATCGGTCTCGTTATCGGACCAAAGCTGTGAGCTGCGAGGTAGACGAAAGCCTCTTCGGAGGTAACAAGGTAACCCTAACCCAGCCCCTCCAGGTAGCTGCCATCTGCAGGCGGTAACCTGGACTCGTGTTACTCAGGACAAAGCTAGCACCGTGCAGGCCATCCCTCTCCCTCGTACCTCTCAGATGAAGACAGAGGGGTGTTCTGAGAGCCAGCAGGGGAGCTCTGGCAGATAGTGGGGCCCACATAAACAGGACACCTGGCTTCCCCCACCCATTCTGTTCTCATGCCTGCACAGCATTGAAAATCTGTTGTAATCCTGGAGGGGGCCCTCAGCTGCAGAAAGCTGGGTCGTTGCTCAGGGAACATCCTTGAGGAAAACATGGTAGGGCCACTGGACTAAGACACAGAGCGACACATTCCCCCCTCCATCCAAGAACAGCATCAGAACAAAACACAAAGTCCTCCTCCTTTCGCAGGTGCTCAACGAAAACAACTTCTCAGCTTTGGGACACAGGCAGGTCTTTATTTGCAAATGTTGTCCTGGCTAAGAGGTTGACAGCTCCTTCAGTCTGAGGAGAGCTGGATGATACTTGGAATAATTTGGTACACATGGAGCACAGTAGGCGAGAAGGAAGAGAGGCAAGTCTAGAAAGAGAACGAGGCACGGCGAGAAGGGCAGTGAGAGAGAGAGAAAAGAGGGGCAGAAGACTGAATACTGGTGTGACTACCTCTGGCAGCGGGAGGGCTGGGGAGAGGAGAGGTGACATCTATCCTTGCTTCTCACCAGCTTCACCGTGAAGGGACTTTTCAGACGGATCAGGACAGGCATCTTTCTGCATTTAGAGAGCCCCCATTCTGTAGCAGTTTCCCTGGAGAGAATCAAGAATGCAATTTTATTTACATGTTTTTTGTTTGTTTGTTTGAGGCACATGGGGACTCTTCCAGTCAAAGCAAAGACAGATTTGGAAATGGCTGAGTTCGCTGAGTAGTGCTGCTGCCCAGCAGAAGGGGCAGCCACAAATACGCCTGCTCTGGCACAGCACTCTCTTGCTGGGTGAGAGTCCAGGAAGTCTCTCAACCAGCAGCAGGGGGCAGAAGGGGCCTGTGGCATGACTGACATGCCCACTCGGAAGCAGAGATGGGCACCAGGTGGCAGCACCAGTCGGGAGGGACCTCTGTGCCCTGTGAGGTCCTTGGGCCAGGAAGGACCTCCACGGAGGGGTCCCCCTGCCTCCACTCAGGACCACAGTCACTGCGTTAATGATGAATGACAGTTTCTCCGGTGTTCAAACACTTCCTGAAATAAGCGATTTCATTTTCTTATTAACTCCTTCACGATCAAGAATATTTTGAAAAAAATCATATATCTAATTTGTATTCCTGCTGAATTCTAACTCTCTGACTTTCTCATGTTAGATTTAAGGGCAGGTCTCCACCAGGTTATTTAGCCATTTCTAACTTCTCTCCCACCCCTCCCTCGCCCCATATAGCTTTCTTTGGGGATCAAAGCAAACTAATCATTAGAAAGGATTTAAAAATATGAATATCATAGATTGAATGAGTCTGTAACAAATTGTATTGCTTTGGGTCCACAGTGAGAGGATTACTTCTTCTTTTATAAGCCATGGAAAGATGAGAATCTGGAGTTTTTATTCCTGATGGTTTTAGGTTGGGTATGGACACACCCTAGCAACCCCCACTTCCTATCCGTCCAGGAGTATCTGCACAAGTTATAGAGGCCTTGTTCTCAGAAGAGCCGGTGAGCACAGAGCACATCTGGCCATGTTCAAGTGCAGAGGGCCACCTACTTCCTCGGCGCCCTAGCTGCTCTTGTGGGCCTGCAGCCTGCGCCCCAGCCAGCCTCCCCTGCCACTGGATAGGGTGGAAGCCCCAGGAGAGAGGAGGGCCACACTTGAAGTTTAGGACTGACCAGCAGGAAGTGAGGTGACTAGCTTCTAAGCTGTCCTTCTGCACCCACAGCCCGCGGCCCAGAGCGACAGCCCCATCGTGCTGCTCCGAGATAAGCATGCCATTGAGAAAACTTTCTCTGCTCTGGCCTTGGAGCACAAGCCCAAGACCATCCGGCACATCACCCGGGACCTGATCCGAGAACTCATGTGAGTATCCAGGGCCCAGGCCCTGCCCTCTCGTCCCAACTGCACGGGGGCTGAGGACCTGCGCCGGGAAATGGGGAACCCACCTGGTTTTATGGTCAAGTCTCCACTTCATTCGTGGTCATTGCCCCTGTGTGTTTTATGGTTCTCCTTTTCTTCTTCGTCTTGACCTCTTAGCTTCCCCCCTCTTGTATCTGTTATTCCCTTTACCCTTGATTCCCAGCTTCTTTCTCTGCCCTTTCTTCTCCCTGCTGTGGAACTAAGTGGCTGGTAGCGGGGAGGGGCTTAGCGGGTCCTCGCTGGGCCCCCATGAGGGCACTTGGTAGAGGGAATGGTCCAGATGAATCACTTCCTTTTGGCGCATCAGGAATCCGAAGCAAAGGGAAACTGACCAGATGCCTAATTAGGCCCTTGGCATCTTCCCAGGCTCTGAGGCCAAAAGAGGAAATTCCCACAGGCTCTTGGGTTCTTTTGGGATTAGGTCAGCACAGCTTCCCGGCCGGAGCTGCCCCCGGGCCTGGCCCCTCCTGCGGGGCTTAGGCCTCACTCAGCAGTGCGACACGAGCCAGTGTGTTGCTCGGGATTCTCTGAAACCATTCTTTCTGCTCTGGCCCCATCGGCTAAAAGCTCGAATTTCTAGAAAATGCTGCCTGTATCACAAGCTGGGACACAGTTCCAGGAGCAATGTCTGGTCAGCCTGGCATCACACGGCCAGACGTGGCCAGCAGCCCGGTGACTCCGCCACAAATGGCCTTTTTCTGGAGGGGTCTAGTTCTGAAAACACATCGGAGAGGAAGTTGCCGGTTCCCAGTAGGGGCTGCTGAAAGCCCAGGAGATGCCGCCTCGGATTCAGGTTATTCCTGGTCATTTCAGGTTCCGGGCTGTGTTGGGCCCGCCACTCAATGAACCAGGAGATCTTGGCTGAGCCCCGAACCCACTCACTCATTAGCTCCACCTCCTGGACCTCCCCCGACATTAGTTTTATTAGGTGAGGTTTCACTTCCTGCCCCAGCTGCGAATCTCCTTGCCTGGTGCCTGTTAAAGGGCCTCACCCAGAAGCGGCTTTATTCCCACCCCCTCCCTCCCCCACCCCCATCTTTAATGTATGTCATTTGTTTGTAATCATTATAATTACCTATTGGTTTGTTGAATGGTTGGGCGGCTGGAAAGGAGAGGCCTATAGACCTGTCTCCAACTGTGTTGATCAGACGTTTTAATTAATATTTAGGGTTCAAAGCTTCTCTCTGGGCTGAATGGACAGGGTGTTTAGCTTTCTCACTGGTATTCATTTCAACCTGTCTGGCGTCCCCTTGCCCTTTTTATGTCATCCTTGAGGAATAATCTATTTTTAAAGTTGAATTCAGCAGCTTTGTTTTGAGTTCTCACTCTGTTCCCAACGCTGGGCTGGCGACTAGGCTGCCGATGTGGTTAAGGCACAGACCGTGTCCTTGACGGAGTTTGTAATCCAGCAAGGAAACAGGCCCTGCCCCGCGGCTGCGACAGGGCAGTGAGAGCAGATCATGGTGGGCTCGGAGCAGCAGGTGGTCTGTTGGTGGGGAGAGGGGTGTGGTCTGCATATGTGTACATTGGGGGGAAGGCCATGAATGGCTACACAGAGATGGCAACACATAAGCTGGGCCTTTTAGAAAAAGTTCTTAAAATGTCCCTATAGCCTAGGATGTTACGTCACCGTCTCCTGGGGTGTTTTTCCCCAGGGGATCCGCAGTGCAATTGGCAGTCTCTCCTCCTGCTGGCCATGTGTGTGCCCGAGGGAGGGATGGCAGTGATGAGGGAGGAAGGGAGCAGAGCCTGCCCTCACCGCCCTCCCTAACTTTGCTCGTTCCTTGTGTCAGCATTCCCACAGAGGACCCCTCCGGGGAGTCCCTTATCATGAGTCCCGAAGAGTTTGAGCGGATTAAATGGGCATCCCAAGTGCTGACCAAAGAAGAACTCGAGGGCAGGGCGCAGGCCTCCAAGAAGGAGAAGGAAGCCGCCTTGGTAGCTACCCCTCGAGCCCTGGTCCCTACGGATGGGGGGCAGAAGAGAGATGTCCTGGGGAGGGGCCAGCTTCCCTTGAGATGGGGAGCTCTTGTTAGGGGACCCTGGAACAAGGCATGGATGGAGATATGCTATCGAATGAAGATCAGTTGTGGGAGCAACAGGGGTGGAGGGGGTGGGGATGGGGAGGGGTGAGGATAAAACCAGGCTGAGAAACTTCTGGGTTCTGATAGCGTGGTGGGGTGGAGCGAGCATAATATTGGGTCACTCGTGGTAGCCAGTCTAGTGCCCAGGACACAGCACAGGGAACCATCCCACACTGACGCAGACGGTCTTTTGTAGGATGCAGTCACCACACGCAAGAAGGTCATGAAACAGAAGGAAATGATTTGGATGAAGAACAAGAAGCTCTATGACCTAGAGGAGGAGGCCAAGGAGAGGGCCCAGAACCTTCTGCAGAGAACCAACAAGCTGCGGATAGAGCAGGAGGAGGAGCTCAGGGACATGAGCAAGGTCGGGGCTCTGCATTTTCCCCTCCTCTTATCCACACACTGGACAGCATTGGCTTCAGCTGGAGGTGGGGCAAGGAGGGGGCGAGGTGAGGGGTTGCTGGGGGTTTGGGGAAGGAAGGTGGGGGGAGAGCTGTATCTGTCATGTGGTTGCTGTGATCGAAGAGAGCTCTGGCTTCATCTTGAGCTTGTGGTGTGACCTTCAGCACGTCTCTTGCCCCTCCTGAACCTTGCTTGCTTCTTTTGTAAAGTGAGGGTGGTAAAACTACTGGGCAGAACTATTGGAAGGATTAAATGAACTAATATATGGGACAAGCTTTGCATACTGCGGATTGATAAATACATGGGAGGAGTTTGCTTTTATTTTTATCCTGCTAGTGCAATTCTGGCCACAGAGGGTGGTCCAGGCAATTGGGTTCTTTTTGAGGCACTTTATCCGAGAGCATAAAGACCAGAGGCTCATTTGAATTCCTCATTGGCATGTGGTTCACTCTTCCCAACCAAATGAACAATGCTGACCCCCCAACCCCTTCATCTACACCCTGTCTCTCTACCTACACCTCCTTTTATTTTCCAAAGCTTTTACTTTATGGTTCTTATTGATGGTCCTGGGTTTAAATCCCCTTCTGTATCACGCTGGGCTCCTCCAGCTTAACAGTTTGGTGACTTGGCCTCTGCATGAGTGTTTTAGTTTCCCTGAGGAGTAGAGCAAGGGTCTTAACTGCGGTTCATGGGTCCCTAAGGGGGACCGTGTAGCTCTGAAGTTTCATGGAGAGTTTGTGTGTCTACCCAGGGGCCCCATAGCTTTCACAAAAGTGTGATCCATGGCCCCCAACACTAAGAGTCAGTTTCCTGAAAGAAGCATTTAGCAGGAGCCCAGTGGGTATTATGTTTGAATAATATTAAAGGGAAGGTCAAATATAAGAATGCTCTTGCTTTTCTGGGCTTGTGAGCAGCCATGTGCATTTCTAGCACATTGATAACATTCCACTCCCATTTCTCTTCCCTCCAACTTCTACACCCCCATGGTGCATCCCTCCCTAACCTTACCCCCAGACCTAGTACCACAATCTCACTTCTACTCCGCAGATCATCCTTAATGCCAAGTGCCATGCCATCCGGGATGCCCAGATCCTGGAGAAAAGGCTGATTCAGAAAGAACTGGATGCAGAGGAGAAGCGGTTGGATCAGATGATGGAGACGGAATGGCAGAAATCCCTTCAAAGGCAGGAGGATCTTTTCAAGAAGAGGAGAGAGGAAAGAATCCGGTAAAGAGGTGGTTTTGGCATCTTTCTTTCTGCCATTTTCTTGAATCTTTAGGTCCAGGGAGACTTCCACAGAGGGAAGAGATGAGAAACGGCCATTGTCATCATCTATTATTATCTCAAAACCTTTATAAAGTGATTATGGAACCACAGAACGTCCTAAAGCTTGTTTCCAAGATCATAACCAGTGCTTCACCATCTGGCCCCCATCCAGCCTCATTGGTCACCATTTCCTGCCCTCTACTCTATGTTTCCCCCGTCCACCACCATGCCAGGTCTTGTCACAAGTTCATGACTTTTGTTGCTCCCACTGCTTTGAATACCCTTCTCTTTACTTTTCCCTGGAAAACACTGTCTCTTCCCTTAGTATGTAGTTTGCTGTCACCTCCCCTGAGACACCTCCCTCACTTCCCAGGAGGCTCAGTGGCTCTGTCCTCTGTTGTCCCATCACACTGTGTTGATATCTAGCACACCATTTCTTGCATTGTTGTCTCTGACCCTCACTACACTGCATGGTCATGGAGGACAGGGTCCCTGCCTCATTTATTTCTGTAGCTCCTGGGCCTAGCAGAGTGTCTGGCCTGTAGTAGGTTCTTAATACATGTTTGAATGAATGAATTTAGTTTTCTTCATTTTACAGAAAAGGATAAGACCCAGGACAGGTAAATTATAAAATCATAGTGTCCTAGATTTAGTACACCAACCATATACTACAAAAATCACTTCCATAAATAGTGCTTGTACTACACTGAACGGCAGTTCTCTTTCCCCATCTGTATTCTGTTCTCTTGCACCATTCATCTCTAGACTTCTAGTAGGCACCTGGTAGACTATAGTAGGCTTCCAATAAAAGTTTATTTAATGGCTAAATGGCTCTTCATCTTCTGCATAAATAACTCCAATCAAGGAAATATCTCTGCCTCATTAGGCAGCTCTAATGATTTGAGCTGGTCCTTGTACTGAGTTTAAACCTGCTTTCATGCAACTCTTACTCATTACTCCTGTTTATTTCATTTGGAGTCATGAAGCCATCAAGTGCTCTACCTGGAAGTGACTTTTGTACTCTTTCTCCTGGATTCTTATTCTGATTAGTGTCATCTCTCACTCTCCCAGTCTTTACTTGTATAGCACGAGGTCTGGGTGCTTCCAAGTCTATTGACATCCCAATAACACACAGGGAGCCATGCCACATTGATTGTAGAATCTGGTTTGTCAGACTCAGCCCTGTTCACTAGCATTTGACAATCTCAAAATGTAAGAGAGGGTATAAGAAAGAGAGTTAGCAAACGAGGCATAGGAAATAAGGTGGGATGACAAGCCCCGGGGTTATAGCAGGGGAACTGGAGGAAGGAGAAGTCATAGGCTTTAAAATATATATATATATATATTTCAGAGAAGAAGGGAGAGAGAGAGAGATAGAAATATCAATGATGAGAGAGAACTATTGATCGGCTCTTTCACACCCCACACTGGGGATTGAGCCCATAACCCGGGCATGTGCCCTGACTGGGAATCGAACCATGACCTCCTGGTTCATAGGTCGATGTTCAACTTTTTTTTTTTCAATTTGCATACTACGCTTTTATTATATAGGATAGACAGATGAATGACCCATGTCGATGTTCAACTCTTGAAGCTCTGTGGAGCTAGCATGCAAAGCTAACTCCCTGTGATTACTCTGGGAAGGCTTGGGAGGTGATAGGATTTCAGAAGCTCTTTACACGCTGAAAGGGAGATGGTTCATTATGTGGGGTGCACTCTTTGAAACAAATGAAGAAAGGGAATACCAAGAAGCATGAGCCCCAGAATCAGGAGCTTGGAAAAGAGAGGACTGACCCCTTGGGACACTGGGGAGGACTTTGGTCTGGGCTCAGGAACCATAGTGATGGCTAGAGCACATCTCAAATTCTTCCTGCCATGCCTCCCATTTTGGGAGTCACTTGGGTGAAGTTTGGAGCCTAGAGGAACAGACCCTTGATTTCTAAGACATGTGGCTCTGTTTCCTCCAGAGGAAAACGGCACATTATGCAACAGATGCAAAAGAAGCAGGAGGAGCGATCGCTGTTTGCGGAGCAGCAGGAGCAGGAGAAGGAGCAGATGCTGGAATACATGGAGCAGCTCCAAGAGGAGGACCTCAGGGTAACAGGGCTGGGCAGATGTGCCAGGTTCCACCAGCACCAGCAACAGAGCCCTCCAAGATTTGGGGATTCCAGGCACATGCTCATTTCACAACATCAACATCAACATCAACTTTTTATTGCCACATTGAACATGTATTTGGCCATGGCGCCATGCGGAGGATGAGCAAAGATTTGGATAGAGACTGTCCCTGCCTCCCAGGAACCCGGGGTCCAAGACTGACATGTCCATGCGAGTGGACTCATAAAGTAAATATATGGCTGCTTGCTTCACACAGATAAACAGATGGATGTATTATGGTCTCCCCTCAATTACCTAGGGATATTATACACTTTGTCGATGAATGTAGCAGTGTCTTAGTTCCAGGCTTCCTGCTGTTACCTCATTCAAAGAACATAGCATCCCAGTGTCATTAATTGTGTTGATGAGCCAAACCTTTTTCCCTGTTAGCCTAAATACAATTAGTAGGCTTACTTGTTGCATAAGAAATGATGACATACCTGACCAAACTAAGTAGACTTAAAAAAATTCTCTTTTATTTGCCTTATCTGGTCTGCTGCAATATACAAAAGCACAGCAGGGACATGGCAAGCATTTGGAGCATTTATTATTTTTCCCCTCATTTTTTCACTTTTGAAAAATTTTATACACACAAATGGAAAGAATTGTACTGCACGCATAATACTTCACCGATTTAATGATTGCTAATATGCCTTAGTTGCTTGTCTCTTTTAGATGTATATGCATATTCTGTTACTGTTAAACTATTTAAAAGTAAGTTGCAGATGTCTTGACACTTAACTACTAAATGCTTCAATCTGCATCTCTGAAGAATAAAGCATTCTCTTACATGTCAACAGTACTATTAGCACTTCCCCCACCAAAAAATTCAAATCCAATAATCCTATATCATTTAATATTTAATTCACATTCAATTTCCAACTGTTCCAAAAATATATTTCCGTTGTCTTCTTGTTCCAAACCAAAATCACTCACTTAAGTCCCTTTAGTGTGTTTTGATCTAGAAGACTTCCCTTCCTTCCTTCCTTCCTTCCTTCCTTCCTTCCTCCCTTTCTTCATTCACGTATTTTTATAACACTAATATTTTGAGGAATTCAGGCTGGTTGACTTGAAGAATGTCTCACATTCTGATTTGTCTGATTGTTTCCTCCTGGTTCCACTTACCTTGTGGGACACATATGCTTTTATTTTGTTCCTCCGCCCTCACATTCATGGATGATTGAGTTGTCATTTGGTGGTGCCTTTGATGGTGATGAGTGACAGAGGCCCCTGAAGGGTCTTACGAATGGCCTTATAATTATGAAGGCTTCTTAGAGCATCTGCAATGTGGGAGAAAGATCACCTGGATAGTTAGGGATGATGAGGGGCCATGTAGCCTTGTGAACCACTTGAGAAGGGGGTCAACAGGGCCACTAAGACAGAGAGACCTGATCACATTCCTGGCTCAGGAGAGAGAGAGGAATAGGTCCAGGAAGGAGAGGCAAGGGGTAAATAATGTAGGGAAAGGGGTGAGAAATGAAGGCTGGGAAGTCCAATTAGATTGTGGTGAGTGGGAATGGTGGGCTCACTGAGAAAGTTCCTGGTGTCATTGAGTCAACACCATTGCACTGATACTGTGCCATTGTCATTTTGCTGCCCTTCTTTTTTAAAAAAATATATTTTTATTGATTTCAGAGTGGAAGGAAGAGGGAGAGAGAAATAGAAACATCAATGATTAGAGAGAATCATTGATTGGCTGCCTCCTGCATGTCCCACCCTGGGGATCAAGCCCTCAACCTGGGCATATGGCCTGACCAGGTATCAAACCATGACCTCCTCGTTCATAGGACCCTCAACCACTGAGCCAAGCTGGTGGGGCCTTGCTGCCCTTCTAATAGGCACTCACTGAATCTGCAGGAAGTATTGCTAGGCAATTTTAAGCCGAAACCTGTGCCTCTCCAGCTTAGACTTGCTGTATCATCTTGGGATGGTACAAGGGTAGCTTTCCCACCTTGCTAACAGGATGGAGAAGAGTGAGGGGAGTTCCCCTGGGGTTGCTTTGGAATGGCTTCAAAGATGAGAAACAGGGAAGGTCCTTTGGTATCTTAGAAATGAAATGAACCAACAAAGACAACAAATTAAAAAAGTAAATAAATAGGCAAAGAAATAAATCAATACACATATGATTGTATGTCTTAAATCAGAGGTCGGCAGCTTTTTTAGCTTTGAGAGTCAATGGGATTAAATAATGTCTGGGGTACCAATGACACTGGAGGCCTAAAACTGGGGGGGCGGGGGGTGATGGTGCAGGAGAAGGTAGAGAGGAAAGGAGGAAAGGGAGGAGGGGAAAAAGGAGTGTAAGAGTTAGGGTGGCAAAAGGGGAAACGTGGAGTGTGTGAGGAGGTGGGTACGGTGAGAGTGGGGGTAGCCATGACTCGGGCCCCACATGGACCTGGTTAGAGGCAGATGTGCTGGGCTAAGCTGGCTCAGAAGGCCTCCTGGAAGGAAGAACCCTGAACTGGGCCGTGAGTCAGGCTGGGGTGAGCTGGTAGAATTGCTTGGATGAGTCAGGGTAGAAGCTGGGCTGTGGAGGTGCTGGAAGACCCGGGAGGGGTTTCGCCTTTGAAGGAACGGAGGGAGCTGGAAACAGTGTGGGACGTAGGGTGAGTCAGTGGGTAGAAGAGTTTGAAGCAAGGAGTCTGATAGAGGGTGTAGGGAGGCAGCTGCACAAAATTCCAGTGACCCTCCGCATTGGGGCCTGAAGATGTGCTGGGCTCAGAAGTGGCCTGGTGATCAGGAGCTCCCAAAGGCTTGGCACTGGGAAAGGCAGAGGCTCCTTCCTCAGAGGGCATCTTGTCCCTCAGTGTCACCCGGTTCTCTGATCTCTATCACTCACTGTGTTTCTGTGTCTAAGTTGTTTTTGTTTTTCTTTATCAATAGTTATCGCATTTAGCAATAGTTTGTTGAGTATTTTCTGTTTTTCTCTCAATTGGGCTACATGTTGTTGACAAAGAGAGGAAGTGTGACACATGGCCCCTGTTCTCTAGCTGTGACAGATGAACGCACAGGAAATGCATGGGACCTACCAGGGGTATGCTATTCAATCCCAGGAGGTGTGCAGACATTAAGCAAGGAAGAGAGAATTGAAGCTTGGGGCAATCAAGCAAGATTGCCAGAGAAGGTTGGAACTTTAACGTAGACAGCTCAGGTTTCAAAATTCTGGCTCTGCAGTTTAGTAGCTATTTGGCTCTGGGCAAATTACTTAAACTCTGGGCCTCATCTTCATTTGCACGAGAGAGATAACAAGGCTTAACTTTCAGGGGTTTGGGATGTGTTTCAGTGCTAGAAATAGGCTACGTGCTCAATGAATAGGAAGTTTCCAATTAGGGCAATACTTATTATTGAAATCTTCACTATCAATGATGACCCAAAGTTTGGGTTTAAGTAGAAGGAAATTGAAGACAGAAGAAACACATCATGAGCAAAGCCATAGGGATGGAGTTTGGCATGACATGTGCAAGACACTGACTAGAATTTTAAAATCCTCCACTTCCTGAGAGTATAAATAGATCAACAGTGTGAGGGGCTGCCACAAAGTCAAGTTGGATGAAGACTGTAAAGAGGCCATTTGCCTGGAAGAGGTCATTGACAACCCTTGAAAGAACAGTGTTACCCTAGCCAGTTTGGCTCAGTGGATAGAGCGTCGGCCTGTGGACTGAAGAGTCCTGGGTTTGATTTTCTGGTCAAGGGCACATGCCCGGGTTGCAGGCTCGATCCCAAGTATACAGAAGGCAGCCAATCAATAATTCTCTCTCATCATTGATGTTTTTATCTCTCTCTTCCTCTCTGATATATATATATATGTATATATCAGCTTTAACAAAGAATAGCTATGGAAGCATTTGTGTCTCTGCATCTATGTGTGTCACTTTATCCTTATATGCCAGTATCTTTAGGTTGTGTCCCTTCTACTCTGAGGCTCTCTTCCTTTTGCTGGCAGGACATGGAACGAAGGCACCAGGAGAAACTGAAGTTGCAAGCTGAGATTAAGCGCATCAACGATGAGAGCCAGAGACAGAAAGCAGAGCTGCAGGCTCAGGAGAAGCTGGCAGACCAGATGGTGATGGAGTTCACCAAGAAGAAGATGGTAGGGGCCTGTTTTCTGACACTTAGGACTTGTGGCCAGGAATGGAAGGTCTGTCATGGGGAGAGGCAGGCCTGAGAACTGAGGGAACTCGAATGTAAGGCAGCCCTGTCTTCTTCTAAAAGTTAAGTCCTAAGTTCAAGGGCTTGGCTTCTTTTTCTCTTCATCCCGTCCAGCACACTTGTTCATTAATGGAGAATAGCCTGGAAAAAAACCACCCAAATTAGGGTGTTATTATCATTGATTAGAAGTTGGGATGAGGGTCAGGTGCAGACAGGAAAGAAAATTAAAACTATTGGTGAAATTAAAGTTTCTGATGGATTCCTCGTGATCTGGATATTTATATTCCCATTAATCATGAGTCAGCTTTCCATAAATTTCTTGTGAAAACTCCTATATTGGGCATCCTGTATTGGGTGCTGGACAAGAAAATAGAGTCTTCCCCAACCCTCACTGTGGAACCCATAGAACAGAAGGCAACACCTGCAATGGTTACTGGGAGATGAAAGTTAGGAATGCGCAGGCTCATTCTAGGGCAAAATGGGGTAGTGGGATGATTGGCTCTGTGAGGAATGGTGGGCAAAAGGAAGCTTTAAAGCACATTTTAATGGAGCGAACACGAATTTGTGTGAAAAGAAAGGGAAGGACTCAAGGTGGCAGAAAATGTATTCAATTCTAAGTGTGTTGGTCCTGTCTCTTCTCTGGTTTTGGGGTTCCATGATGACAGAGGGCACAGCACACTTCTCTGCAGTAGTGAGCTTTAATGACGGACAAGGGGAGGAGGTGGTTAGAATTTGAAAAGGCATAGGTGATATACCTACATACTCCAAATGCAAAGCACAGAAAGGAAGCTTCACAAGGCCTGTTAGCTTTGGCTTTCTTGTTGGATGCAGGGATATGCAGGGAACAGAGTGAGAATGCACGATGAGGGGCATAGGTGGTTCCTGCATAATAGCGATCACACAACTGCCATTTGTTGAGAGCTCAATCTGTGCTCAGGCTCTGTGCCAAGTGCTTCACGAGGGTTGTCTCATTTAATCATTACAAACTCCTCGTGAACCTAGTCACTGATTGATTCAAAATGTCCTGAATGCTTCAGTGTGTGTCCAGTGTCAGACGAGGCTGGGCACACCTAGACCAATAGAACTCAGCAGCTACTTCCTTGAATAGGTGAAGGTGGAGTCGGAGTTGGTGAACAGATCTGTTGGCTGCAGCAGAGCATCTGTGGTGGCCATAGTAAGAAATGAGGTGGTGAGTGGCAGGGAGCTGAGAGCAGTTGTTGGGGATGCCTGGGGCCTTGAGCAGAGCTAGGAGCATGGAGCAATGAGAGATCACCATCGAGTTCTGGGCAGGAGTGGAACGTGCCTGGCCTTCATAGACGGGAGGAGCTGCAAGAGGATGATGACTGACAAAGGGATCAGACACCAGGCATATGCATAGCCCACTGTCAGTGTCCAAGTGTATCACAAGCCCTTTCCTGACCTCAGTGGTCTCTGTTCATTCAGCCAGTGCTGCCTTGTTAGAGCTAATTGGCTATGAAAGCCTCTAGAGTTCTCTGCCCTGCCATCTAGAGCAAAGGGGGAACAGAGAGACCAGCTTGGCATACTACGGCCAGTGTGCACAGCCCACAAGCAGGCACTCATTGTGCTGCACAGAAGTCTGGGTAGACAGAATGAGAGCTAAGGGAAGTTCTTGATGGGAAGATCACATTTCCACCCAACCTGAGCCATTAGTCTATGACTGCCCTGGAATGGTGGTTGGGAAACTGGATTTAGTAAGCTTTTAGGGATATATCTGTTCTTTCAGAGGAGTAGCAAAGGGAGCGAATTGTGATGGTTCAGTCCTTAGGTATCTGCTAACCGCTGTGGGACTGCCCAAAGCATGTTGGCCGTTTGCCCAGGGACTAATGAGATAACCTCCACCCCCTAAACTTTACAAGACAGGCAGGGAGCCACAGCTGTTACTTTTAGAAACCTGGCCCAGTGGCCTTGTAACTTGGAAGCTGTGAAGCTGGAAGGAGCATGAAGGCTGTGCTCAGGAAACATGCCTTCAAAGCCTGTTTGGTGGCCGACTAGCCATACGCAGTCTTGGGCAGGACCCTTAGTCTCTGTGAACATCAGTTTCTCCATCTACAATGTCGATCTCATGAGATGCGAGGACCCTCTGGGCTAACACAGGAGAAAGTGTTTTACAAATTTGCTAACTGGTTTCATGTCCTTGCATTGCTAGTCATTTCGCTGTACAGGGAGGAGTCAGGCGATAGGGGAGATACTGGACAGACTGGTGCGGGGGCTCCGTTTCTTTCTGCAAGGCTGGGGCAATGGGAGGTACCCTACAAAGCCTTTCTTGTTGGCAGGCTCGAGAAGCAGAGTTTGAGGCTGAGCAGGAGAGAATCAGGAGGGAGAAAGAGAAGGAGATCGCCCGCATGAGGGTCATGCAAGAAAAGGTCCAGGATTACCTGGCAGAACAGGTACCTGTTTAGTTTCTACTTCCTCCCAACTCTTCCATTCCCTTAACTCTTCCTGTGGCAGCCTATCAGGTGGCCTGGAGGGTGGAGATTTAGAAGAAATTATTGAGACCCCTGTCATCTAAAAGAGAAGGGCCGGCCTGCTTCTGGTGTCTAAGGCAGCAAGGCCTGAGCATGCATTATGGGCGTAAGGTCCAAGAGAAAGTTTTTGACTGTTTTATAAAGAAATTCCAAGCTTAACTAATCATTGAAATGTGTTCCCAGAGGAAACCATAACATCTCCATTATTAGCAGTTTTTAAAATTAGAAACAGTTGCAGGACTACCTGGAGGTGTCTGAGGTCCAGGAAAAGCATTGGGATGAGTGAGGTGGAAGGACAAGATGATCTCTCAGGGTACCTTCTGACCTGAATGTTCTTTTACTTTTAAATATATTTTTACTGATTTCAGAGAGAGGGAGGGAGGGAGAGAGATGGAAACATCAATGATGAGAATCATTGATCAGCTGCCTCCTGCATGCCCCCTACTGAGGATGGAGCCTGCAACCTGGGCATGTGCCCTGACCAGGAATCAAAACCATGACCGTCCAGTCCATGGGTTGAGGCTCAACCACTGAGCCATACCGGCCGGCTGCCCTGAAAGTTCTATGACAGGATTGCATTTATTCTTTTCCTAGAATAACCTTGCTACTAGAGAAATTCACGCAGCTTCTCAAAGCAGCTGTGTTAGTGTCAGTCTTCATCTCCCTGCTGCCGTTTCATCCACTGAGAATCATGGATCAATTTCAAAAACTTCTCAGGCTGTGTCGGAGTCTGTGAAGGGGTGTCTTCCCCAGGCACCTGGTCCCTGGGAGATTGTTTTGCACCCTCACTGGTATCCTCGCCCTCTCCTTTCCCAGGATACCTTGCGGGCAAAGCGCAACCAAGAGGTTGCAGACAGAGAGTGGCGCAGAAAGGAAAAGGAAAATGCGCAGAAGAAGGTGGAAACAGAGGCCAAACTGAGGAAAACTCGAATGGAGCAGGTGGCGTTCAAGGAGCACACTCTGGCAGTTCAGGTGCAACGGGACCGGGATGAATTCGCCAGGATCCTTCGGTAGGAGGGGTGGAAAGTTCGCTCTCTTTCCTTGCACTGTGGCAGGGATGCCCACAGACAGATACACATCCACCTTGCCCGGGTGGGTAGGGTCATTCTAACCAGATGGATGATTGAAATATTTCAGACACTTAAGCCAAGAATTTTATTTTATTTAAATATTTTAAAATTGATTTCAAAAAGGAAAGGAGAGGGAGAGAAACATCAGTGACGAGAGAGGATCATTGATTGGCTGCTTCCTGCAAGCCCCCCACCAGGGGTTGAGCCCTCAACCCAGACTGGGAATCAAACTGTGACCTCCTGGTTCATAGGCTCAACCACTGAGCCACACTGGCCGGGCGAGCCAAGAATTTTACGGTTAGAGAATTGGAAACCTGGAAGTGTTGAAGGAATTGGGTGGGTATTATTGGGATTATTTATCTGGGAGTGTTGAAGGTATAAGGAAAGGTATGAATCTTGTCCCTTCTGCCATCCCCGCCCCCCTCCAGGTCCCCCTGCCAGTTAGGGATGAAATTGCAGCAGGGAGGTGAGGAGAGATGAAGAAAACTTCAAACTAACGGTTGTGAGTCGTTGAAGCAGGGCTTTAAGGGAGGTCTTTGCCCTTCATTTGACAGATATGTACTAAGCACATGAATTCAAGGCTCTGTGCTGGGCGCTATGGGAAATGTTAGGGACGAATAAAACACTGTTTCTGCCCATGCACGTAGGAAGGATGTGAGAGACTCCTTGAGATGGACCTCACCTATACTTATCCATGTCTCCTGCCTCCCCAGCTCTTTATCCTTTTTTTGTTTTCTCTGATGGACCAGTGATAACTGTGACACACAAATGAAAGCTAAGCGTTCACACCTCTCAGGATCCCTGCCTCAAAGCGGTCAGCGGTCCTAGCTGCTCTGGTTTCTATCAGGCAGATCTGCCCCTGGATGTGGCCCCTGGGGTTCTCCGGCTCTAACCCTTCTGGTCTAACTGGGAATGACTCTATTTTTGCTCTATGAGATCGTGAGATGATAAGATCAGAACATTTCCAAAGGAAACAAAGCAAACAAGACTTTAATTGGTGCGGTAACGATACCAATTACTGAAATTATGCTCAGATGAGGAGAGAGCGAGTGGCACAGTCCGACTTTCTTGGTCTACACGCTCTAGGTTCCTGTTTTTTGGTTTGTTTTTTTTAAAAAAATGTATGTTTTTATGATTTCAGAGAGGAGGGGAGAGGGAGAGAGAGATAGACACATCAATGATGAGAGGGAATCATTGATCAGCTGCCTCCTGCACGCCCCCTACTGGGGATCGAGCCCACAACCTGGGCATGTGCCTTTTACTGGAATTGAACTCGGGACCCTTCAGTCCACAGGCTGACGCTCTATCCACTGAGCCACACCAGCTAGGGCTGGGTTCTTGCCCTTAGTTGCTGCTGGACCAGGCTCGGAGCCTTGGCCAGAGATAGAGCAGGTCCATAGGAATCTCCGTCCTTGGCAGAGCCAGGCTTCTGGTCATTTATTGGACGGTGGTCTCCCAGCCTGTCCCTGCTGGCTGTGATCCCTTCGGCTCTGCAGCCTCCCTGCCCTCAGTGTTGTGCCACAGTCTCTGGGTACCTGGCAAAGAAGGCAGCATCCTTACTGGCCCCAGAGATTCTGCCCCTGGGCTCCAGTTTCCTCTCAGCTGTGTGCCCTCCCCAGCCGCTGTGCCCTTGGATAGCTGTGTTGCCTTTAGCAGGCACTAATGGAAAGAAATGAAGTTCCGCTTCTGTTACTGACCCATTTGTTTGTTCTTTGCGTTGTTCTTCTGAAGCATACATAGTAGTCAGTTTTTAAAAAAAATATATTTTTTATTGATTTCAGAGAGGAAGGGAAAGGGAGATAGAAACATCAATGATGAGAGAGAATCATTGATCAGTTGCCTCCTGCACACCCCCTAATGGGGGTAGAGCCTGCAACCTGGACATGTGCCCTGACCCTGACTGGGAATTGAACTGTGACCTTCTAGTTCATAGGTCAACGCTCAACTGCCGAGCCAGCCACACTGGCTGGGCTTTCGTAGTCAGTTTTTAAGGCTAGGCCAACCCTTTGGAAACTTCCATTTTACCCGTTGTCCCAGGTTGGTATCTAGATCTAGTGTCTCCAGGGCCAGGTAACCACCGTGGTAGGTGTCTTCAAGCGCTAGGAGCATCTCTGCCATAGCCACCATTTCCTATTTCCAAAGCACGGCCTCCTAGGAGATGGCTAGAGGGAAGTGAATAAGTGAAGCGGTGCTTTTGGTACCTTTGTTGGGGTGTGAGTGACCCCAGGAGAGGGCTGGAGCGTGGGTCCCTGAAGCATATCCGCTGGAGGCCCCCTAATGGGGGGCAGCTCAGCCCAGCACCAGCCCATGCCACACCCCGTGTCCCCGCCAGGGCTCAGAGGGAGCAGATTGAGAAGGAGAGGCTGGTGGAGGAGAAGAGGGCGGCGGAACGCATGCAGCACGCCCAGGAGCTGCGGCGCCAGGTGCGCGAGAACCAGCAGAAGCTGGTGCAGGACCGCATCGCCACCTTCGAGGAGGGCCGGCGCCTCAAGGAGGAGGCCCAGCGGCGCAGCGAGCGCATCAATGACGTCAAGAAGAAGAAGATCGAAGAGCTGAGGTACCCTTCCCCGCTCCTCTTCCGGGCCCCAGAGCGGGGAAAGGACCGGCAGCTGGGATTCCGGGACCACAGGGCACAACAGAGGCGCCCAGGGGTGTTGCCGTCTGCACGGGGCTCCAGCAGAATATGGGGGCCGGGGTCCTCCCGGCTCCCTGGGACCTACTGGGCAGGATGCTGGGGCTTTGACAGGAACATGTTTGGGGGATGAATCCTGGGAGTGGGGTTGGGGGTGTGTGCAGGGTCCCAGGTCTGTAACCCCACCCAAAGCGCACCCGCTCCCCGCTGCCTGCTCTCTGGCGCCCCTCCCCTTACACCCTCCCCGTGTCCCCCGCAGGGCCACCGGCCTCCCTGAGAAGTACTGCATCGAAGCTGAGCGCAAAGCCAACATCCTGCCCGCCACCTCTGTGAGCTGAGGGTGCCCCCAGCTACTCTGGATGCCTCCAGGGGGAGGTTCCGCCCAGGCCCTGGGTGTCCGTGACTGCCGCTAACCTAGACGTTTAGTAGTTACAGATTAAATCTATTCTACTCTAAGCAGCAGCTCCGTGTCCTCTGTGGGCATGTGGCTGCTCCAGGGGACTGCACGCGCAGCAAAATAGGTTCCAGGAGACCCAGGTGTGCGTGGCCATGCTCAGGGGCCAGATGCAGGGATGCTCTCCACACTGTCCTGCTCAGCCCGGCGGTCTCTCGGTTCTGGCGTCTCCTGGCCTTTTGGTGAGCCTCTGGGATGCTGCCATCATGTCAGCTTTCGGCGCAGTCTAGCCTCTGCCTCCAGTGCAGGCCCGGCCCCGGGGAATTCCAGGGGTGAGGCAGGAGCTGGAGATGCGCTCAGGGAGGGGCTGGCCGGGCTGGGTGGATGGGGTGGAAGCGCTCGGCCATTCGAAACAGAGCTCTTCTGGGCTCACGCCTATGACTCAGACCACATCTGTGAAGCGGGTGGTGTCTGAACCCGGACTCACCCACCTGTCTCAGCCCTGCCCTGCCCTGCCACAGCCTTTCAACAGACACTGCCGTCCCTCAGCAGGGCACACCCAGGGTCCCTGCTCACCCTGTGGCCCAGTCCCCTCACCCAAACACAGCTGCCCCGTCACTCAAGTGGCTGGGCAATCCTCAGTCCAACGCAGTCACTCTGACAAGTGGCGCTCCCTGAAGCTACTGCTGCCTGTGCTCATACTCTATCCCAGTGGTCGGCAAACTCATCAGTCAACAGGGCCAAATATCGACAGGACAACGATTGAAATTTCTTTTGAGAGCCAAATTGTTTAAACTTAAACTACATAGGTAGGTACACTGTTATTACCCTACCTATATAGTTTAAGTACTGTTGATATTTGCCGCCTACCCTGAGCTGCGTATCCCGTGGCCCGCCGACCGACGGACACCCCCCACTTCTTCTAACGCCACTTCTTCAAAATAGACTCGCCCAGGCCGAAAACCGACTTCTGCGCGTGGGCCACGAAGTTTCAATCGCACTGTCCGTGCGCGCCCGCATGTGGTGTTTTGTGGAAGAGCCACACTCAAGGGGCCAAAGAGCCGCACGTGGTTTGCCGACCACTGCTCTATCCATTCATTCGCTCATTCCACACTTCCCGAGTCCCAAGGATGTGCTAGGGATGGTCCAGGCACTCAGTGAGCTCAGCAGACCTAGCTCCACCCTCACAGAAACTTCTCATTGTTCCTGTCTGTTCTTGATTTTTGTCCCTCCCCCCCCCCCCCCCCCCCCCCCCGCCCAGCTGCTCCCAGCAGATTTCTTGTACCTTTAGAATAGCCCCAGCCTTTTGGGGAAGACCCTGATTATCTGGCTCCCACGGGGCTGAGGTGCTAGCTTCTGGGCGTGGCACCTTGCCCCATTTGTGCATGCCTTGGGGGAAAGTGCTTCCACCCAGCTCCCATCCTGAATGGCGCCCCTCCCCTCTGCCCTTGTGTTTCATGTCTCAAATCCAGAGCCCAGTCTTGTCTCCCTCTGTGGGGCCTGCACTAGAGGAGGCGGAGACAGTTGCTGGCAGAAGGCAGTTGTGTTTACAATGCCAGGTTACAAGGGCCTCGGGCAAGAGTCCTCTTTTCATAGGGCCCAGGGAGAGCGGGCAAGCTGCTTCCTGTGCTTCCTCTTCCTCTGAGGCTGCAGCGTCCCCCAGCGCCTTCCCCACCTTTCTCACCCGGGAAGACTGTCGCCTTGTCCAGCAAGGGGGGCAGCCTCACCCGCTGCTTGGGGAAGAGGCCTTTCACCTTTCCTGCTCAGTACCCCTAAGTGCATGCCCCCTCCCTAAGGAAGCTGCTATCTTCCTCCCCAGGGGCCTTGGAAAGTGTGGTACCCAGCCTGGGTGGGAGAGAGGACCTGGCCGTGCCACTGCGGATTGTGGCCCTCCTGCGTCTGGCTTACTTGCCTACGCTCTCTCTGAGCGTCACCTATTGTATGGTTAGTACCCGCAGAGACCAAGGAGTGAGCTTCTACCCATTTCAGGGGACCCTCTTGCCAGGAAAGCCAGACATGGCCTTGGGTGCCTGGGATTTGCTCAGCTCCTCACATAAGCCATCCATCTCAGGGCTGGGAGGGATGGGCTCCTTGGAGTACAGGGCAAGGAGAAAAGAGGGTGCATGCGCACTGCTAACTTCTGAGCCCATGGAGAAAAAAAGAAAAAGAGCCAAGTTCATAGGTTGAAAGCAAGGCTAGCATTTCACCGGAACTGCTGCTGCTGGTGAAAATGCAGGTCTGCAGGGCCTGGCAGATCCCAAGGGCTGATAGTGAGACTGTCTCAAACATGGCTTGGACGCGGCAGGGGTTACATGAATCAAGGTCTGGCTTCAGGTGGAGGCGTGTAGTCACCTCGGAGCGGGTGAACTGGTTTGGGAGAGAAGCTCAGAGTCCAGCCCTCAGGGTTTCTCTCCATCAAGGAATTCCTGGAATTGACTCGTGGTGTGGCAGAGAGGTTCAGTTTCTTCCCTCTGGATTCCTGAGAAGCTCTGCACAGGCTTCCTTGGGCTTCAGGACTGGCCCGACTTATCAGAACCTTCTTCCTAAAAGTAGGACACTCCCGACAGCTGGGCCAGCAGCTGGCATCTGGGGCCAGCCGGCCACATCGGGCATCTTTTATAAACTCTCCACGGCCTTCACTCACGAATGGCAGTGGGAATAATTACAGGGTAAAGATCCCTGGTGTTAACTGGGGGCTGGTGGGGTCAGGCACGGTACTGGGCCTGCCAGCTCAGGACCAACTAGCCTCAGTCTCATTCCTGGAGGTTGGAAACTGTAGTCCTAATTCTTAGGGGACTAAATGAGCTCTGCGTGCCCCTCCAAGCCACTGAATCGGCTCAGGGGTGTCTGGGAAATTGAAAAGGGAAGAGGGGTGCTGGGGAAATCTACGGATGAGTAGGAAGTGCTGTTGGGTGCGTTCCCTTGTTTGATATAAAGGTGTGAGAAGCTTGCAGGGAAAATAAAGTGTCTACACTACTGACTTTATTGTATGGATCCCCGATTGCTTCTCAGCTCCCTTTCTTCTGCCTCCCCTCCTGACAATTCCTGTCCCTGCAGTGTCAGCCTGGGATGGTATGGCCTGGAAAATCCAGTGGCTGGGCCCCGCCATGCAGCACGGGAACAGGTCTTCATGCAATGACCGCCTGATCACATGTCCTCCAGCTCCTGGCTGGACCGCATGTCCCACCTGCCCGCATGTGCCTGTTGCGTGTGTCATGCTCTGCTGTGACTTGGAGGCTGTCTCAGAGCCTTGGCACCTGCCGAAGCAGCAGCTCCAGTTGGTCATGACTCAGCAGTCTGCCCTGGTGGCCCAGCCAGGCTGTCCCTGACTCAGGAGGGGGCTGGGATGTCCTCCAGCACCTCTGAGAGCCTCAGCATCCACATCTGTGACTTGGGTCCAGGCATTCATTGGTCTCAGTAAAAGCACTTTGATTGGGCCAGGATGAAAGGGGCTCAGAGAGTTCAAAGCCGGACAGGGCTTTTGGGGTGAAGAAGCGTGGCAGCTGTTTCGGTGACAGTGGAGGGAAGACGCTGGAGTCTCAGACAAGAAGTCTGAGAGTGGAGCCCATAGAGTTCCTCACTCACATCCATCCCGATTTGTCCTTCTCCAGAGCAGGAGCCTGGGGGAGAGATGGGGGTGGGGAGGGTTCATCCAGACCAGAGGTCTCGCCCTTAGCCTAGGCTGCTGTCAAGGTGACCTGCCCCCCATTCTCTCTCCCTTCCATACTCTGAGATCTATACTGGCAAATCACACCAACATTACCTGGAAGAAGGTCATTCCCAACATCACAGAAATCTCGAGTCCCAGAAAAGGCTAAATTATTCTTGATTTGACTGGCTTTCAATAGCTTAGACTAGTGGTTCTCAACCTTCCTAATGCTGCGACCCTTTAATATAGTTCCTCATGTTGTGGTGACCCCCAATTTCATTGTTACAAATTGAACATAATTAAAGCATAGTGATTAATCACAAAAAGAATATGTAATTATATATGTGTTTTACGATGGTCTTAGGCAACCCCTGTGAAAGGGTCATTCGAAAGAATTATATATAGATGTATAAAAAGAAAGGTTCGTTCAACCCCAAAGGGGTCGCGACCCACAGGTTGAGAACTGCTGGCTTAGACTTTCCCTCTGTCTTAGCTCCCACTCTCCCAGCTGGAATGTTCTGGCAGTGCAAGCTCTGCATTCCTCCTTGCATGCTCCATGTCCTCTTGGGAGAGGGGTCACCATTATCTCAATGCCCTTTGATGACTTGGCTGGGACAGGAATAAGGTTGAGGTTTTGGGTGGCTTCTTTAGAAGTCCCCTTCTCTTAGAAATAGAAGTCAAGGGGGTGGGAGTGAGTGGGGGGAGGAGAAACTGCCCAGAGCTAAGGAGCTTTCCCACAGCCCCAGGGGAAAACTGTTTGTCCCTGGGCTAATGGGTGTGAGCACCAGATCATAGGATCTCAAGGCTGGAAAGGACCTCAAGGACCCACTGCTGCTTGAATCGCCCTTGTAATCTCTAAATCAAACGGTCAGAGAGTCTGAGCTTGTTTGCACTTCCTAAGAGTCATAAAACAACCCAAACCGTCTCAGATCAGCCCCGGTGCTCAGAAAGTTCTTAATACTGAGTCAGTATGTCTGTCTCCTGTGCATCCCCAGTGCTTTGGGACCACACTAAACAAGTTCAGGATTTTTTTACATGATGCCCCTTCCGATATCTCCTGTCCCAGCTCCTCTACAGCCTGACCCTGTGTCCAAAGTTCTGGAAACACATGGCTTTTCTGAATCCTTTTTTTTTTTTTGCGGGGGCTGGGGGTGAGTGGGTTGTTAGAGGGAGGAAGACAGGGAAAGCCAGGAACCTTCCACTTTATCCATTGGCTGGGCATGTAGCTCTCCTGCCCTGGGCGATGTGTGGTGCTCTGAGCCCTGCCCCCACTGGCACCACCTTCCCCACACTCCTTCCCCTTTCCTAGTCAGTGTCCAGGCAACAGGAAACAAACATGGAGAGCGGAGGGAGGGCTGGTCAGGACAGGCTTAGTAGGCACACACCCAGCTTAGCTCTGTCGCCTGCCGGGAA